TGGATAAGGTACTCGATGACTCTTGGCTAAAATGAAAGTCTCACATTTAAAATCTAAAACATGCAGTTCTGAAAATAAAGTAGGAAACATATGCTGCAAATAACAAAACGAAGGATGACCTAACCGACTGTGCCATAACTAAATTTGTTCTGCCTTGGTACCACTAGGTTGACCAACATGATGTACTCGACCCATGCTGAAGTCATCCATATAGTAGAGCCCCACTCTCTTAGTACCACATCCAATTATCTCCTTCGAGAGAATATCTTGAATAAGACAAAATTCTGGGTAAATAAGTACTGTGCAGTTGAGCTCTTTGGTAATTTGGCTCACAGATATTAGCTTGTGAGAAAGGGAAGGCACACGTAAGGTATTAGATAATGATAAAGCTGGTGATAACATTACAGTGCCAGCCCCTTTTACCAAAGAGATAACCTCGTTGGCATTGGAAATACTAGTCCGCCGAGGAGGAGTATGTTGACAAAAATCTCGTATATCAAATGGCATATGGTCAGTTGCTCCGGAATCAAGAATCCATGTGTTGCAATCATTACTGCTATGACACCCGAGTAGAGCCATATCTGAATTAGAGGTACCTACCCAGCTAAAATGAATACTTCAAGCCCAACAATAATTCAATTAACACCAAAAAATACCAAAGATCTCAACCCAACAAGAAAGGAGGAAACAAATTAATTTGCCCAAAACACAAATGTGGCTTAAAATAACAGGCTCAAACCAATCAAAGTTACCTCCTTTGTGAAGGCCCAACTAAGAACACAGAAGAGTGAACGACCTGCTTCTAAGGAAGAACTCACTGTGTGTGAATGGTGATTTCTTACCACAGGAAGATGTCCACTAGAAGCTGCCCCAGCAACACAATCGACTAACCGAAAGAAGGAATTCGAAATCTTCTAGAGACTAGTTGACCCAAACGACAATTGTGCCACCAAAAGAATATGTCGTAATCACAATCCAGCAGATGAGGCCAAGTGTCGTCAACAACAAAAATTCAGATCAATTTCAAGCAATTGATTCATACGTATCCCATCTTCGGGTTGAGCCAATAAACCAGAAAGCCACCAATTCAAAAGAGAATTTATATCTATATACTGCAATTGTAATTCAATTGTAGGGTAGCAATTGGAGGTCCACCTGAATTGGAATCAACATTGGCCAGGATAGTGGTAGGGTGAAGAAATTTCAATTAGGAGGCTACAGATATCAATGAGCAGGGGATCGACGCTCTGATACCATGACAAATTGTAGGGAATTTCAATCGTTTTTCATTGTTTTTTTTTTTTTGAATATAGTGTACAAAGATGGAAGGCTATATATAGCCTAGAAATTGAGACTATATTGGGACTACACGTAAATTAAGCCTAAATTGATCATTGACCCTCTAACATAGTCACTATTTACTTCTACAATCTTTCCAATATACAGTTCACGCCAACAGTAAATCGGGATTGGGAGTTTGGGTGTATGTGACCAATTACTTGGTTCTTTGTGAGTAACTATGAAAATGTGACTCTAAAATTCGATAAATTGTGACTAAAAAAATAACCTGTGACCAACAAATTCAAAAATATGTAACTGATAGATAAACTGTGACCTATAATTTTTTTTTATCTGTGGCCTATAAAATTTTTTATTTGTAAAATTTGACAATATATGACTAATAAATATGCTATGACTTGTAATTATGTACATGTGACTAATAATTGTATAACTACGACCTAATTATTTTTAATTAATTAATCCATACCCAAGTTTTATATTTTCAAACCATACACCAAACTTGTAATTTGGTGCTAACTAAATCACTAAGTTATCATTTTTTCCCCTAAACAATTGGAGTCCTTTTCTTTGGTGGAAAACATTGGAGATTATATATACATACGCAAGACACACAAAAGGGGCGGCTGGATACATATTACGAAAACACAGAAAACGGCTGGCAGTGAGAAGCTGTTGTTGAATGTATATCCACATACACACAATTAGAAGCTGCATGAGGAAATGAGAGATATATATTCATGCAAACGGTGGCTGTTGAGATATATATATAGACACACACTTGCAAAAGGCGGCCAGAAATTGAAAGGAGGAGAGAAACAGTTCGACAGCACACGCGCAGGAAAGAGAGAACTGGCTAGAGAGAACAGATATACACACGGCTCGGAGGAAAAAAAGAGAATGGAATATACATACATGCAAAACGGCTGCTGGGAGGCAAGAATGAAAAAAAAAAAAAAAAAAAAAAAAAAAAAAAGTCAGAAATTGAACATGCAAACATACGCACGCAGAATCCAAGAAAATTGAGCGAGAATTAATCACGTTTGGTCGATTTTCGATGATTTTTTTATCCTTTATTTAATTTCAATCAGGGACGGATCCAGAATTTGATCTAAGATCAGACTACAAAATTTCAAGTTGGGCTAATACGCGGAAAAAAAAAATTACACACAAAAAACTGTTTTAAAAAAAATGAAAAATGCATTAAAAAAATAAATTTCTTGAGCCTTGGGGGGGACTATAGCCCAGCCCAGTACCCCTTATATCCGTCTCTGATTCAATATCATGCTAGACTAAATTATTTTGTGCTAGGATTTACGATGAACTTTGTATTAAGGACCTTTAAATCTTAATTTCATTTATATTGACGTTAAAACATATTTTTAATTATTTAATGATTGACATAGATTTAATTTTCTCTATAATTATATGCGCAATAGATGTATGAGTTTCGTGGCTTATTTTACCCTCGAGCAACGGAAAATAAGTTAGATATTGTGCCAATTGTCGTAGAGTCCGATATGGAATAGAAATATACCGCTATACTTTACGTGATCTTTAAGTATTCACAAATTCATTAATGTATTTTTATATGTACCCATCCGTCATATAAATATAGCCGAGTCACACATAAAAATAGGTTTAATTCTACTCGATAAAGATTGTTAAACAATTTATAAATATTGATCTTCATAGTTGAATCGTGTTGTCAAATCTATAACCTTTGGCATTAAAAGAGAGTGACATAAGGGGATTCGGGATCTTAGTACGATTTTTATCATCATATTTTTATAATACTTGCATTTAACTATAACCTTGCAATTATTAGGTCCTGCATTCATCCATAATTTAAGAAGTGACAATTTAATTTTAAAAAAATCATTAATTTCTATTGTTTCGATGAAGGCAAAGATGATTTGAATTTAAACTAGTACAATCTGTGTGGGATGACACTTGGATTCAAAAAAATACACCTTATTACTTGTTAACGAACCGCACTCTTGCGGTGGTTTAGATCAAAAGAATATTTTCGTGAACAAAGTTGAAACAATAAAAAAATAAGTAAAATCCTCATTTATTGATATGTTTACCAACAATTAGTAAAATCATTCCAAACTAGAGATGGTGATGATTAGTATATAATCTTAGCCTTTAGATCACATGTTGAAAAAATGGTGAACATAATAAGTTTGGGCATGTGTATCTTATAAGTGAAGAAATGAAATATTTGACCATTGAAGATTGGGACTTGGAATTAATCTATGACTTTATGATATTTTACATGAATTTTCACACAAACATTGTTCTTGAATTGGATAACTAAAAATTTATTTTAGCAATGTAATTTTGAAGCTGTTCATAGTTTTGACAGAAATCTCAATCCCGAAACCAACAGTAGATTATCTAACTAAAGTTTGTTAAAAAATTTATTCAATTTATATTTTGTTTGAGGATAAATAATTGTTTAAGTTTTGGATGTTTGATAAGTATATTTTTTCCACTTATCTGGATCGTTAAATTAAAGTATTTGTTGTCCATGTTGGTGAATTATGGCCTAATTACGTATATATTTTGTTTGTTACATAAATTCTATGCAAAATGATAGAACTAGATGAAAGGAGGGAAAATGGGCTAAAATGGAAGAACTCTAAAATTCGTGGACTAAATTGCAAACTTTCAAAAGATGATTCGAGCCGTATATCGATGATTGGAGAGTTTAGGAGTCAATTGGATGCAAAAGAAAGGCAAAGGACTAAAATGGAACAAATTGGCCTAGGGATGCATGCACACCCAAGATGCCTATATACCGCGAGGTTGAAATTTTATACTGACGAGCTAGTTTCCTTTTATGACTCAAACTCCTTTTAGTATGAAATCCTAGCACCTATTTTACCTAATTGAAGCTACCAAGGATGAGAGACACCACATTATAGGGCAAGGAAGTGATCTAGCATATGATCTTACAAGGGAATAACATCAGGAATTGAAGATTCAAAGCTCAGGATACAAGATCAAGACCAAGAAATTGATTCTTTATCAAGTTGCTTATGTTGTTCGATTTTCTGGGTAATTTCTTTTCAATATTCTTTCTGTAATTTATATTAAAATATGCTAGGCTAATTTTTCCATTGAATTGGATGAAGATGAACCATTTGTTTGTTTATTTTTTAACTAAAAAAACAAGTGGTTTGGTAATGCTTGTGTTTCTTAATTATGCATTCTTGTTGCATTATTTAATCGCTTGACTATCAATTAGGTAAATGGTTGATTGTTGTAGTAATGGAAGGCTCACAATAAATTTAGAACACTTCAAGATTACCACGCTGAGAAATAGACGTTAGTAATAACATGTATGGCGTGTGCAATCTCTTCAACAATCATGTGTTGAATGCATCCTATTCATATAAATTCGGATTAGGAATACGATAGGGTCCTATTTAGAATAGACTTAATTTATTTTGAAAAAGAAAGTTGAATATAATATGATTGTCGGTTGGCATTAATGCATAAATAGAATTAAATTAAATAGTTTAGAATTGGAAATAGATAATAATATACGAAATCGTAAGTCCAATACACTCATTCCATATAATTATAAATAAACGCTTTTACATAATTTGTAGAATAACTTAGAATGATTACTACAACATCATCTTCTTCTTTTTTATTTTTACAATATTTCGAATTATATAGAGTAGTAGTACGCTTAAATTAGAATTTATCGCTCATGGGACAATTACTCAACTCACTGCGTATTACTTGTCAATAATCTCGTACAATTACAACATTTGCATGAACAAAAGCAATACTGTGGAGAACTTTATTTTTCTAACATCGAATAACCTTCACGAACCACAATTTTTATAGCGTAAAGAAAATTAATCTCCAACATGATTGATGCATTAGGGGCACAATTACACCCCAAACATTCTTGTCTACCAATACCTATAAAGGACGTCTAGAGAGCCAACGATCGAGCATTGCTAGACATTCTTTAGGCTTATAACTTGATGCTGTATGTCCTGCACCCTGTTAAATAAAAACACACTTTTATTTCTTGTTTTTCCTCAAATCCATGTAAAAAATGACACTTTTAAACTTTTCTTGCCTTGATTGTTGCAAATGTGAGATCGAAGTCATTTTTCATGTACTTCTCTGTGTATCTACAAGGGGTAAAGTAGGTTACAATTTTGGGAATAATAACATCAATATTTATATATTTACATATAATAATCATCAAGAACAAGAAACAAACCCAGCAACTTGGCCATTAACAAGCCAAGGTCTCCAGTCGTCATCGACAGTCAGATTGAGAGTGGGAATCCATTCTAAAGGACCCATATATGGTGCAGCCATGTCGTGATCACCGCTGAATAGAAAAGAAGCACAATTAAACAACATATACCAAATTAAGTCAAGATTTCTATTTAAGAAAGAAACTAGTATAACTTACTTGAATATCAATGTACGGTATCCCTTCTTGATCAAAATTTTATGATATTCAAGAGTACTTTCTACATTATATTCATAGGATATTCCTTTATTGCATGTTGTCCACCTTGATATCGTTCCCTAGTGATCAAATTACAAGGATACTGTAAACAAATTTGATCATATATTAAAATTTTGTTGACAATTGGCACATCGTAACACATACCAAATCTTTGATCTTTTTCAATAAAACATACCTTTCTAATATAAAGAGCTTCTTGAACAGTTTGATCATTTGCCCATTCATCAGATACTACTAAATCTTGAATCTATACAAAAGAAACCTGTTCTTGAGAAACTAAACATGCATGGCTGAGATTAAAAAAACTATAGAGTTACTTTAATAATTTTTCTCCAAAAATAGTTCTATAAAGTTCTTTCTTCAACGACAAAGTTAGTCTTAACTTAATTTGTAGAAAAATAAATTTGTCTAGAGATGTATACATAGAGGATTAATTAAGTTACCTGACACTCTTGTTTTGCTGATGGAAGGACGAGATGGTCAACTGAATTGTCCTTCAAAAATGTTTGATCCCATCCAAAATCATTTGGTTTTGGTGCCATGTTTGCACATGATGGATCCAAAATCTGAACTTCGTTTATACGACTTAAACACTGCAATATTTAGGGTTTAGAACCATAATAAATATTAAAGGAAATGAAAAATAAAATGAAAACAAAATAAGTGCAAAATGTTACCTTTTTGATGCGTTGAAGAGCATATGTACATTGCTGATTATTTGGATCGTGATTGTGATATTTTCCAGCACAACTAATTTTTGCGAACTGAAATTGTGTCAAGTAATTACAGGAGAATAAGATGCAATGTGCAGTATTTTCTCATCAAAATAATTGAATAAAAAATATTACCTCAAAATATTCATCAGATATAAGTGCCATGCGATGAGCATATGGAATTCGTGCATTAAAATCAATGTTTG